GAAAGTAGTTTTTAGTAACACAGTGTTGGTAAAGAGGGGCTAAAACAGGCTGTCCTTGGTGCTGCTGTAGTATATTAGGTTCTACACAAGACTGTGCTGTAGTAGCCAACATGGAAGACTTTCTAAGCCCATCTTAATTAATAGAGGACTTCAGTTCAACCTGCAAACCTTGATTTGGAAGCTTTTGGAAGGCCCATTCCTGAATTCCAAACTCAATTTGGTGATGAAGACCTGTTGTCTTTGTCAAAAAGCTTGGACCCAATCTACCTTTTTTGTTACATTTCTTGGACTTTGAGTTTTTACCTTGATGATTGGAGGACTTCCCGTCACCAACACTGGGTCTCTACTTTACGCTGCACTATCTGCATTATCTCAGTAATGTAGTGCACTTGATTCCTTCCCTGATACATTAACATTATCTGTAGTGGTAAAATTTTCTTTCAGCCAGTAGTGTAATGGTGAGGTTTTTGTGTGTAATAGGGGGGTTCACAATAGCTTTTCACCAGAAATTTTTTATTGTCCCACCAGGAAGGTTTTGAATGCTTCGCAGGTTAAAATTTTAGTCAATTTTTAACACACCAGAAAAGCCTCACCAGAACTGCTGCCATCGTGAACGTGTTGGCAATCACTAAGTTCCACATCACCACTCAAGTTCGCAACCACTCCAGCACTTTGCAGATCACCCCCAATCAGCTGCAACAGAACACTTGAGATGGTGATGACCCACCAGTCATCACCATTTGGGGTCGGCCATCAATGGTGTTGACCGATCAGAACCGGACATCACTCATCAATGGTGATGACATTGATAGAGTTGACCGGTCTATCATCAATGGTGATGACCGGTTGGTCATTGATAGAGTTGACCGGTCTATCATCAATGGTGATGACCGGTCAGAACCGGTCAGCCATTGAACCGGTCTTCAATGGTGATGATCGGTCACTCATCAATGGTGATGACCGGTCACTCATCGATGGTGATGACCGGTCACTCATCAATGGTGATGACCGGTCACTCATCGATGGTGATGACCGGTCACTCATCAATGGTGATGACCGGGTGGTGATTGATGGAGTCAACCAGTCCGGATGAAGATGACAAGTCCGTCATTGATGGTGATGACCAGTCGGTCATCAATGGGATGGTGATGATTGATGGTTGTACACTATTGATGATTGATGGTTGTACACTATTGATGACCAATATTCATGCTGGTGAGTATGCCCATTGGTTGATGACCAGCAGGATTTATGGATGCTGGTCGTTGATCTTGTCATGCTTTTTAGGCTAAATTTTAGGCTAAAAACATGACCAGCAAGAATTTTTTTTAAGGGGGACCATAAGCCAAAAAAGCTATCATGAACCCCCCTAATGAATGGATAAAGTAATGCATTATCAGATTATCCAGATGTTAAGCAACCCTAAACATATTTTAAGTGGCAAAAAGCCTCTCTTTTTGAGCTTTGGCAGCAACACATGCCATGAATGTCTAGAAAGTATCACATGTCTTGCCAATATTTATGGTTTTTCTTATGGAAAAAAGTCTACAAGTTGCTGATCATAGTGTAATGAGCATGAAAAAAAAATCCAAGGCAAAATGGATAATGTAATGTGCAAAAAAATTCTGAACATTATGGGGAAAGTAATGATAATGAGTGGAAATTCACTACTTTATCTTTACACTACCATTACGGGTAATGTAATTACCCAGTGTTGCTGTCACCATTTAGAGTGCTTTTTAAGCCCTCCCCAGTCCTAAATTAACACCTCAATCATAAGTCCAACCAGCTCACATGAGAGCTATCTTCACAAGGCTTGTGAAAATATATTTTTTATGCCAAAAATTAAGATCTAGGGGGTGTAAATTAGATTCTGGGAGGGTTGTAAACCGTGATGGGAAGTCATCCATTCAATCTTTATTTCTGCCCCAGTTGTCCCACAGCTTTCACATCCAGTCTCAGCTCACATGACAGCAGTACTTGGTCCTTGGTTGGACCCTCTTTTGTGAAAGAGGTAGGGTCTACAAATTGCTCTGGTTCACACAGTGTGGAGTCTCACAGAACAGTGTGCAACAGTAAACTCAGCACCATGCCAGAACATGAACTGGTTTTTTTCTTAATTCTGCCCTAAGACTTGGAGCTTCTACTGGATTATGGGGGGACCAGAGTTGTTTAAGCCCTCAGCTTGAACTTATAGCAGTAAAGATAGAACCCAATGGAGACAATCAAAAATTTGATATTTCTGAAATATGTGGTCCAGAATATCCACATACAGCCAATCCCAAAAAGCTTGTGGTTTTGGGAGGGCTGTACTTTGGAAGGTTTTTTTGCACCTGATCAGGTTTTTGGGGCCACTTTCACCTGTATGTGGCTTGTTATGGCCACAGTGCTCCAAGTGCTACAACCCAACTTCTTCATTGTTAGGGAATTCACATTGATTGATTGGATTAGTGAGAATTAGCAACCTCTTTAATCCCAGGATTAGTAGGGTATAGATTTAGTACCTGTTAGCTCTGAAACTGACCCTGGAGCTAACTTAATCCAACCTCTAATCCCAACTGGTATGGTTGGGAGGATTAGATTAGGCAGCTAATCCTGCCTAATCCGCACACCAATGTGGATGCTCTTAGAGTTGAGGATGTGGAAGTTGGATCATTAGAATCCTATCCATTTTTTGAGTAGGACCAGCTTGTCACATGAGGCTCTGCCAGACCCTGCCCTGAAGGTGGCAGGTATCCAGACCCAGTGGTGGGCCGCTACGCTTTTGGCCCAAAAAGTGTAGCCTAGCGGCGCTTTTTTTGCGCCAAAATTTCGTAGTGTTAGCGCGTTTGTAGCGCATTTTCACTACGCTACAGTGCTTTTAGCAGTAAAAGCGGCTAAAAACCGCTAAAAAGTGCTGTAGCGCAGCGTAGTGGGCCCTTTTTTGCGCCCCATACGCGTAGCGTTAGCGGTGTTGTGGCGGAATTCCGCTATGCTACACTTAACGCTAACGGGAATTCCGCTGTGTTACGCTACACTAACCGCTACGGTTAGTGTAGCGGCCCACTGTTGCCAGACCCACACTGAGGCCTTGGCAGCCAAATTGGAACATTTACAGGCATCTGTATAGGTTGTGAGGTGCTAAAAGTTGGTGGCACAGAAAAACCTCTCAAAATACAGCCATACCAAAACCACAAGCTTCTTGGGATTAGCTGTAGTTGAAATTTTCTGTGCAAATCTTCAATTGAACAATTATAGGAGAATACAACCACAAAGGATTTCTAGACTTTGGAAAGGGAAATTCATAATAATTGATATACAGAAGCTGGTAATCAATTGAGCTGATTGGCTAATTTTCAGGTGTGGTCAACTGCTTTTAAAGGGCTTTAGGAAGGAAAGGTAAGGAATGGATGTGGAATTTCTAGGTTGCTTACTTATTGTTCCAAAAACAAAAGGTTATGTTTTGGTATTAGATTATAAACTACTTGGAAGCAAAATATTCTCCGGAACTAATTTACTAGTGGGTGTCCATTCCAAGCAAAAAAAATCAAAGGTCCAGGAATTAATCCACTTTTTTGGAGAGGCAGCCTTGTGGCCATTCAAGAATCTTCTAGATTTGCTGTTTAATGTACCATAGTAAAAAAAAACCCTTGTTTGTAGCCAAATTTTGAATTTTACAAGGAGAATTACCAAATTTTCAATACACCCTGCAAATTCCAACTTGTAAAAATCATGGGCCTGTACCATATGGCATGAAACCTCAATTTTTCAGGTTTTATTTTCCTCAACTGTTCATATCATCAGAATTAACCATTACCAAAGGCAGGGTTTTAGCCAAAAAGTAAAGAATTTCAACAACAGATCTATTCACTTGTTTCCAATCCTGGGAAAAAGGTTTTGAAGAAAGTAATTTTTATTTTTCCTTATTTTTGAAACTGTTTTATATTCATTTTTTGGGACCTGTTCTGCACCACTTGACCAAGTCTCATGAATTCAAGTTTTTACTTTAAAGCTCTGGGATCCAAAATCAGCAGCCACTTTCCACTGTCTAACCATTATGCAAGATGTTTTTGAATATTTACAAAGTTTGCATACTTTTTTTATTGGAAACCCCACTTCTCACAACTGCACTTGGATCATAATTCACTTTCCATAGAAATCAATGAGGGTGTGGAGGCAAGAAGAGAATTTCTTCAAAGACCCCCTTTTTACTTCATAGGGGTATACATATAACCACAGGGGACTTCATAGGGGTATACATATAACCACAGGGGGTTGGAAAAACGACTCCCAAAAATTAGTCGACGACTCCCGTTTTGGTCGGGAGGTCGTCGAACGGGAGTCGTCCTTCTAACTCCCGGGAGTCGGCGGCCTAATTTCACAAACGATTTTTTATATTTTTTTTTAAAAAATTCGGGAGTTGTCCGCCCAAAAGGCGGGAGTCGGCCTCCCAAATTTAAGGCTTAATTTTTCTGAATTTTTTTTTTTCCTAGGGAGTCGTCAGGCCAATTTCCCAGACGGAAAGGGAGTCGCTGGCCCAATCGTTCCCTGGTCTTTTTTTTCGCCTCGCAGGAGTCGTTGGCAAATAATTAGGAGTCGGCGGGGGAGAAGAAACCTTGTTTCTTCTCCCACGAAGGAGTCGCCGCTCCACACCCACCCATATCCTCCCCTCCTCC